GGGCAGCTCCGGTTCGTGCCCAGCCAGGCACTTCCCACCGCTTGGCAGGGGAACCCCAGACACAACTTCCAGCGAGCTGAAGTGTGAAACCCGCTGCTTGTGCAGAGTGGAGAGTCTGTTGCGAGGCGGTGTGGACTTCCCGGTCGCTTTAAAGATGGGTGCACAAATGCTCACCAGTAACAACAGCGTTGCACTGCACATGGACTTATTTCCTGGTCAGGCTCGGGGGTCTTTAAAGTTAGTGATTAGCCTGCAAACACAGTTGCTTCCCTGTGATATGCTAAGTGTTTAGTGAATGAGGTGTTCTCAATAATTGTTCAATAATGCTTTGCTTTAATTACCTCCCAACCTTATGATTTTCATATATATTAGTGTACTTAACTGTGCCAGTTTCACATTTTATTTGTCTCTGTTACAATGGATGGTCATTGTATATTTGGATCTGCCTGGTAAATTCAGAAACAGAAGAGTTTGCAGTTGTAATTTACTTTAGGCTGTCAGAGCTCTTTAAGTGTTAATGATACAAATGACTGCTGAGGTACTAGAGGATGCAGGGAGTCCAGTTTACATGCTCAAGCATTGACAGTACCATTCGAATATTTTTAAAAGCCCTGTGTATTAATTATTGAAATTGACGTGAAAAAAAATCCCAGGTTTCATGTAGTGTGTCAGGTACCAAAATATACAATCAACTACAGGAAGGACTTGGGGCATGTATTAGGGTGTGTAAGGCTGTGTAATACTGTAATGGCAATAAAGACTGAGTCTCATTTCAATGTCCTTCCATATATAAATGTCCAGTTTAAGTCAGTGGTAATTCAGAACAAATGAAAAATTATTCTTAATAGATTGGTGTTGTGCCAGAAATGAGAAGGCAATATATTTAAGTATTTATTTCAGACAGACTACCTTAAAATACAGACATACACAAAGCCATTATTGTTACGTACTTTCAGAGTTTGATTTTACCGTAGTGCTAGTATATGTTATAATCTTCAGCTTATATTGTTGAAATGTAAAGCAGAATTTCTATATTAGCATTTACTGCATCTTTTTTTAAGCGAGCCTGTGTCCTTTCCGTAACTGACCTTTGTGAGTATTTCATGGTAAATGTGGGTATTAAAGGAAATAACTTTTCAGAACAGTCACATTTCTCGTAGAATTCCTTGGTTTTGTTTCTCCCTCTTCCTCCATTTCTTTTTGGCGAGCTTTACTGTTCTGCATGTTTTGTTAGAAGAGAGCAAACTAACACTTTCCTATGACAGTTAAGCTCACAGGGATGAGTATTTTTCACTTATAACATTAATCTCCAAATGCATGTAGCCAAAAAACGTTTTGTTTCTCAGGGCATCAAGTTGTCAGCAGAGGTCAAACCATTTGTTCCAAAACATGCAGCGGTAACTGTGGCATGGTCAGAACCCTCAGAAGCATGTGTCTTTCCTAGGTACTTAACTACATGCTACCCATTTGTTCAGGAACCGTCTTTGGATAAGTATGTATATTTTCTGAATCTTATTTCTTGGGGGGGGGTTTAACCTTCTATTTTCAAACACTCAATACTCTTACAGAGTCAAACCTCTGATACGTTAATATTATAACTGTAGGAACACTTGTGCGTTGTCTTCATGATTTAGGTTCTTGCATTTGTGTTCTTTGGGCGTGTATCTGGTACCTTGTCCCTTGCTCCCGAGGGCCTGTATTGTTAGAGTATTGTTACAGAGCATTACGGAGGATTTGTTGGTCTGTCATGATTGATCTGGCTTGTTTGTGCTTCGGAAGTAGTTGAATCACAGAATCACAGAATCTTCCGAGTTGGAAGGGACCTCTAGAGATCATCTAGTCCAAGTCCCCTGCTAAAGCAGGATTGCCTAGAGCACATTACTCAGGACTGCATCCAGGCAGGTTTTGAAAATCTCCAGAGAAGGGGACTCCACAACCTCCCTGGGCAGCCTGTGCCAGTGCTCTGTCACCCTAACTGTAAAGAAGTTTTTTTCCAGTCCTTGGGTGAAAGCATGGTTGTGTTATGACAAGGCTGGGGTAAATATAGTTTTATACAAGGAAGAGGAAAATCCTCCAAGAAGGTTTCTCATGCTGTAAAACATTTAAGTAATGTATGGATCTCCTCTCCACAGCATGTGCGTCCTCAGAAAGGCAGTTTTAGTAAGAATGCTACAGGTTTCTAAAGTTTTTTTTCTAATAAGGCCTGAAAAAAAAGTGTTCATGGTAGACTTACAAAGGTATTCTTAACCCCAGAGCAAGCTAGAAAAAAGCCTATGTAGTAGGATAGGAAACAACTGAGTCTTCTAAGGGTCTTGTGATGTTACATAATTCTCCAGTTGCTTCTCACAGCTTTAAGCATTGGATTCATTTTGCAATTACCAAAAAGTTATTGGTGCATCCTAACAAGTTCAGTTGGAGCCTTAGCAAACACATTCATTGTAGGCCTTCATTTTGTCCTATAGGAAATCTCAATGTTTTCAACCCATTTTGATTTATAATAGAAATTTGACATTGAGATGAGTATGGCCTGATCTATGCATTAGAAAAAACAGCATTAGCGTTACATCAATTAGCATTAAAAAAAAACAAAACCCAACAGCAGACAGCTGCAGTATTCTGATGAATGTTTTGCCTTGTTGGGAGTCAGACATAGGGTGGTTTTTTTTTTACTCTCCTTCCTTAGTTTTCTTCTCTGTGTGTAAACACTGATTATAGGTGTTTTGACTGTAGTCTAGCAGAATTGCAGCAGGCAGTAAGGAACGTGTTATCTGAAGTGTCTTGTTCTCATGGGAAAGTTTCTGTTTTTCATTACCTACCCAAGATTTCAGAGGTTGGCCACTTCATGGTAAACAGCTTTAAAAACTAAATGCAACTTTTGTAAGGTGAGAAATTTCCTTTCTCCCTAATCAATTTGGAATCTTGGCATATAGTTTCTGTACAAAGTGTAGGAGGAAATTGAAAGGAAACTTTCAATATACATTTGAAATAAAAAGGCATGCCCCAGACATGTTGTGTTTTTATAAACTGTGGTGATTAAATGCAGGTCAGTTAATGATTTTCTTATAATTCTGTATTGGAATTCATACATGTCTTATAGCCCATAAATTGCTATACACCTACTTTGTTATTGTGGCATTTTAAGACAGGTTTTACTTTTTAATGTTTGTATTTTTGCAATCAGGTGTGTAATGCATGCTGTGTAGTCATACTGTGCTTTTGGTTTGTTTCACAAGAAAAAGCCTACTGAAAATAAGTGCAAAGAATTTTGATAAACAGAAATGAGGATTGTAACTGCAAAGCAGACCTCCTTTGAAACTTGGAGACAGATGACATCTGTGTTTTAAAATATTTGCTTAACTGCATGTTTTCCCAAAACAAAATTAATTCTTTTTAAAGCAGGTTATAGCAGTGAGTAAATACTTAATTAAAGTAACATGGAGTAGTTTTCTTTTGAAATATAGATTTCTTGTTAAACAAATTCTTCAGCCAAGGGATGATACATTTATCTAGGCAACAAGTATACGCTGAAGATTTGCCCTGGGATGACTTCTCATCTCTTTCTCAATGTCCATCACATAGTGTTCTGGGAGATCCTGCCTTCTGTGAATACTCCAGCTGCTCTTACTCACCTGATGTTGTTTCAAATGTATGTCCAGTAGCTGGCTCACAATATCATTCTAACAACTCAACACACTATAATGGTTCAGGAATAGTCAGTGAATCTGCTGAGCAAACATATCCAATCAGACAAGAAAGTAAGACTCTTTCAAAGGTGAGCAAATATGTGTTTTTTAAAAATTAAAATTAAATTTTTATTTTAAACCCATCTTTCTAAATATTTGGTTCATTTTTTAAAGTGAATAATCACTCTCTGTTCTTGTAGTGATAATGAATAGATTTAAATAGGATGTTAGTAATGTGCCCAGCTTCAGTTTTCAAAAAAGTTAATGGGATTCTGTGGTTCAAATTAATCAAGTTTTTCAAGCAGTGTTTTTGGAGCATGAGGGGAATTTAATTCTTTTTCCTCAGAAAGCAGCACTGGGGACAGGGGGGAGCAGGGAAGAAAGGACTATTTATTTGTGCACTATGCTTTATTTGTTCACTATTTGGGCTTGGGTGTCAGGGAAGGGCTGTCTTTGAGCCCAGTGGCAGCTTCCTTGAGCCTGAGTTGAGACACCTGGTGGCTGTAATCAGCTATGTGGCTGCTAAGTGATGAGACCACATCTGTGGTTGAAGGATTTCCAAGAACAGCTATCCACGAGAGAGTAGGAACTTATGTTGGTGTGGAGAGGGATGAGAGTTCATGATAGAAATGTTCACTTTCAATCAAAGGTAAAACAAACGTTTGGTAAACATCTCATTTTTTGTGTGTGCCTGTTTGGAGATAAATTTCCTGAAACTTGCATAATGTTTTTGAGCAAAAAATAGACAAACTCCTCAAAATATAAAAATCAGGGGAAAAATTACTAACTTCTGTAGTTAGACATTGTATCTCTTGGAATTGTAAGGCTGTTGTTGTTTCCAACAGGTTCAAGTAATCTGTTCTCTAGTCACATCCTTCTGGTGGACATTACTCCCTAGGCAGAGACCTGGTAACTTAAATGCGGTCAAGCCTGTGTAGAGGCAGTTGTAAGATTTAGGTCCTAAGCATGCATTACTAGACGTAAGATACAAAAGCCAGAGACCTAAAATTAGTAATTGTCTTGCTGAGAGAAAAATTAAACACTGAAGCTGTCTGAGGGGGTGATTAGCTCAGCATTAGCACAGGTCATGTAATATGAAGAAACTTACTTTAGCTTCTGGGAGGAGTTCTGAGATCTTTGTAGTGGCTTTGGCTGGGCTGGGTACTGTGGGGCAGGGGTTTTTTGTCATTTCTCCCCGTCATTTTTTTTTTTTTTTTTTTTTTTTTAGCTTAAAGAGAAATGATTGAGCTTTGCATTAATTTGATGACATTGTCTATCGCTTTAACAGTTTAGCTTTGGAGGTCAGCAAATACCTTGTCCTCCCACCCAAGAAAATAATGTTGCTGCCAGATTTACTTTGAATTTAGTCCAGCATCCTGTGATCAGAAAGAGTTAAGCTACTCGTCTAGGTTGATGCAATATACTTAGCATAGGTGTGAGCCTAGTGCTTGTTCTCTGCCTGCCATACTGATTCCTGAGCCCAGCTTTTCCAAACTGTTTCTTGCAAGGATCACGAGGTTTTCAGGACTCTACAGTATAGGTGAATACAGTTCTTTTACTGGGATCATGTAGGTGTATCTTTTCTAATTACTTTCTGTCTGCTCCAAGTGTTTTGGGCGTTGTGACATCAGTCTTGCTTAGTTTTGCCCATAATAAGTAGTTTTGTCAAAAGATTGGAATGCTTTTTAGATTTTAGCTCTATTCTAGAAGAATCTCTGTTTTAGAAAATCAGACTGGACGATTGAAGACCAAACAATTTTAAACCATTGAAAATGCTCTGATTAATGAGCTCTTAAAAGTACAGTTGTCTAGAAACGTATAGAATAATCCTTCTTGCTTGGGCTGTAATATGTGCTAAAAATGGCACAGTTAACAAGGTGGATAAATAGCAAATCTCTAACTGGCTGATCCTGTTTTTATTGGTTATTTGTGGTTATGGTATACTAACTATGTTGTATTAAGTTGATGATTAAGCTCCAGATGCAGAGGTAGGTAACTTAACTCAAGCTAAGGCAAACTTGGTGACTTTACAGTGTTCAAGTAAAATCAGCTAAATATGTCACAAATACTTGCAGCAGAGGAGATCGAAAGAGAGTGAGAAAAAATTAGACAAGAAGAGGCATGGTGGAGATGACTCTTCTATCAGAATCATGAACAGGACTTCGTTCCAGACCTCCGCATGCAGCAGAGATTCCGTGAAGCCAGGTACAAGTGTTTTGTTTGCTTAGAAATACATCGAACAGATGTTGACTACGCTATAGCCTCCAGTTTGTGACCATGTTTCTAAATCTAGAGTAATTAAGGAACAGGATGTCTTTCCTCTGTGATTTTTTGACAAGGGATGGTGAATTAATGTTTTTTTGCTGATTGAAGAAATTCATGTAAACTAGTATGAAAAATTTCTTAAGCAAGTGGCTGAATGTACAGTTGCCTGTTGAGTCAGTGTTGTGTATACACATTGGTTATAAATGCTACATTGTTTTTTTTAATAGGAACTACTGCAGTAGTTCCAGTTGACAATTACGGTAGTTATGTCAACTACTGTGTTGTAAAACATACCTAGAAATGATCACAAGCAAGTTTAATTATCTAGACTTTACATGCTTTATTCAGACAGGTTCAATAAAACTACAAACAAGAAGTCAACTCAGACTCCCAAAACAGAGTCTTTTCCTGTACACACATTTGAAGCTACCGTTCTGGATTTCTGCAAGTCACAGAGCTTGGGAAGCAGTGAGATATTGAATGTACAGCATAAAAGTGGACCAGTATGTTCATCGGAAAGTACCATTACGTGCCTTAGTCAACCACAGATGTCTCTTCTGTTGAACACAGAGGTTAGCTGATGCTTTCATGTTGCAGAGCTCATAAAATCAAAACTTGTCTAAATTTCAAGCATTTCTGAATGCAAGTGTTTTGCATTTAGTATAGTAGACCTGTTAAAGTACTTTGCAAGCAAGGAGTTTCATAGCTGGAGGTTTTATAGTTATTTTTGTAGATGGTGTTGTCAATGCTTGCTGTCTCCTCTTTTACAGTTTCTCACTCTTCTTTCCTTTTCTCTGCTGCCAGTAGATAGGGGAAAGTCAAGTACTGTTAGAATTTAGATTGGTACTACTATGGTCTAGACTTCTGTCTTACCTATACAGAGCACATATGTTCCTGAGGTTTCTTAACAGCTTCTTGTTTTCTCTGTCGCCTGGAAATAATAGGTAAGCAGTCAGTTATCCAATAGTTTTAACAGATGTTTTTCAAGTGTGGAATATTGTACTTAATTACTTTGTACTAAAGGATAAAAATAAGAAACTGAATTCTAGAAGGAGGAAAAAACATTGTTAAGACGTAAGCATTTAACGTTATTCTTTTTCTTGATTTCCTTGGTTCCCTATTTGTTAGTAAATACAGTACTAACACATTCAGCAGTATGTCATGTATGTCATGTCATGTATGTCATGTCAGAGTTTTCAACAGTTACTAAAGATGAATAATTTTGTAGGATCTAAACAGCATTATATTGCCAGTGCCTCTCAGTGGAAAACTGCCTGTGATGGAAAAAAGACCTTGTTGCTGTCACTTGAGTTTCCTTTTTCATTGCTAGTTTGAGTTTGATGATGGACTTTATTTTTAATGTACTTAGAACATTAAAACTTTTTGTTATTTGTTCTTAGAATCATTGTTTGCATACTTTTGTAAAATATAAGAAGGCACTGTCTTGCTTGTACAGCAGTGGAGAGGCATCTGCTTATGTTTTGTAATGCTATAGGGTAAAAATAATGGTTCCACTAAGAAAAGCAACTGAAAAAAAAAAAGCTACAAAATTCCCTCCACCTTTATCTGTGCACGTGTTAAGGGTTTTTTTGATTTGTTGGGGGTTTTTATGTTTAGCTCTGCGTAGGTCAGTAATTTTTATTCCTACTTTTATGATACCTGACTGCCTATTTTACAGGAAGATAGTTCTGTGGAAAGCAAAGCTTCATCAAAAACTTTAGATGAAACAGGAGCCAGCTTAATTCCCTCTTCATTTGATGGTAGAGGTAAGTGCTCCAGACACAAATTATTTCCTCATATTTTAACTGGTTGCATCTCATCAGTTTGGAAAAGTAAAGTGTTCTGAGCCGCTGTTGATGTGTAAAGTAAAAAAAGAATTATACAGCAAGCTCATTGCAAAAGGAAAACGCCAAACACATAAAGCTCTGTCAGTTTATTTCAGATGAGATGACCAATTATAGCTCATTGTTGCTTATAGAGTTCAGCAGCATATCAGAACTGGGATTATCTTCCTTCTCTGCTGTTTCATTGATGCTCAAACGCAAATATTGCAGTAGTTGCCTCCCATGTTGTTTAAGAGGAAAGTAATGCTTATTGATTATTGGAAGTCTGTAGAGTAATTTTCAGTTTTTTTCAGGAATGAGAGGTAAATATTTGATCAGTGTTGGTAAGATTTGTTTTAAATTGCTGGCAATCTAGATTCTAGTATGTACCTTAAAATTATTTTGTTCTGGGGTATATGTTATTTCTGTCAAGTCTGTTAAACAAAGAAGGATAGCTGTTGAGAACTGTGAAGCTGAAATATCCTGTATTTTTTTTTTTTGGTTTTGCTTACTGCTTGTCTGGCTGTGGGATGCAGAACTCTGCCCCC